GCTTGCTTGGCCGAAATTTTGAGGGAGAGAAAGGGAGAGAAACCATCATCTTCTACTTCAAATTCTTGTCCAAATCTTAAGTTCCAACCAATTAAATCGCAAACTACTCTATAACAGTGCTAGTTAGGGTAGTTTCCAAGGTGTTTGTGGAGCTAATTTGGGAAGAAGAACTCTAAGCCACCATCTTTCTTGAGGATCCAAGGTACTTTGCTTGCAAAATCACTCTTTGTTTCTAATAGTTGCCAATTAGTGGTTTAAAGTTGTAGTTTTGGTAGTTTTATGAGCATATTTCATAGTTTGAAGTAATATTATGGAAATTTTAGTTTTTATGGTGATTTTTCTGCCCTCATGAGATGAATAATGGTTGGCCATGGAATGATAGCTTTATATTGGGTGAAATGAAGCTTTGGTATGCTAGTTTTGGTTACCTAAAGAAATTTCAGCTTATGTGCACAAATTCCAGCTTAGGGTTAGTAATCTGCCCTGATTTTTACACTGCATGTTCGTCCTTGAGAGAGACTGAATTAGCTCTTTTTCAAAACATAAAAGTTGTAGTTAATTGAGTTATCTAGCTACCTGTAAAATTTTAGCTCAATCGGAGCACTGTATCATGTGAAATGACCGAAATACCCTTGACTGCCCATAAGCCCTGTTTCGCGGACAGTTTTCTGTTTTCGTGGAGATTTCCATTTTTTACCCTAAAAATGCATGTTTTAGTTTTGGAGGCCTTCGTAAGAAATGTAGGTATATGTCTTGGCTTCGAAACGCCATAAGATTCATTTCAATCCGATAAGTGTAGTTTCACTTGTGGTTGTTATGCCGAAAGGTGTTTTATCACCTATGATTTGTATGTGAAATTGTGGTTGAATTGGGATGAGATTTGGTGTTTGATTGTAGGATGGAAAATGAAGAAATTAAGGGGAAATGCTGTCTGTTTATTTTCTCAAAGTTAGAGTGAGTAAAAGTGAGATTTGAAATGTAATTTGGGGATGCGTTGGACTTACTTTTCTTAGACTTACTTAGGTCCACTTTAGTGGTGTTATTTGAGCTAGACTCCATTTGAACTTGTACATTTTCGCATGGTGAATGTGACAACCATTTTAAGCATGATTCTTAGTTACAAATGTCAAGTTTTGAACTTCAAATATTTACTCATTTTCTTTCCGAAACAAAGAAGAGTTGCATAAGGTTTCTGGGCCGCAAAACCTATTTTATCAAGCGAGGCTTTAGGTGTGAATTTAGAGTTTGTTTATCTTCCTTTTCATATGATTTTACTCAAAACACTTGTTATACATTATTTCCTTGCATATGAGTTAGTTTCGGACGAAACGAAGAGTTTTACAAAAATTTGAAAACAACTGTCTTTTCATATCTGGCCGTATATCCGGCCAACTCTTGGCCGGATTGCTGGCCGGATTGACAAGGGAAGAAGAAAAAAATTTGGAATGCTCACTGCCTTGAATCCTGCCGGATTCTGACGTGGCATTGTTCATTCATTTTTCGATGAAATTTTCTAAAAACCTTTTTTAGTATAGTTTTATGTTTGGTTTGGAAAACCCTTAGTTACTCATATCCTTTGATCTAAATGTACTCTTTTCACTTTAAAACTCATATTTATATATTGTACTAGTAAGTATTCGGATTTTCTTTGAATTACTTAAATCTTTGATGGTTGCAGCATAATGTGTTCTTTTGGTTATTATTAGGGTTCCTTGGTGATTGAGGGTGTTATCCGGAAGGATACTTTGGACGTTATTTTGCGTAAATAGGTGAGTGTTCTTTGTTTGTTATGTTTCCATGAACTATATGATTTGTTGTGGATATTTGATTAAATGATAAATATTTGTTACAAATGAATTTTGCTAGGCGAGTGTGTACTTTATCGCATTCGACCTAAATGAAATGTGAAATTTTCAATGTTTAAGTGATTAAATGTTAGTTATGCATGAATGTAAGTTTTTTGGCTGAATTGGACCATTGCCCTTCGTTGCCGGTCAACTCGAGCCAGAAGCGGACTCGGTCGGGCGATTTGGTGACCCTGGGTGAAAGTTTGGTATACTCGAGTATTATCACGTTGTCGGGTGGAGTCTAGCCAATGTCCAGAAGGGGGAAGAATGAAATGAATGAACGAGTGATAATGTCAATGGAGGGGTTTTCACTTACAAAATGCATTTTAAAATGATTGGAGGAATAAGGAAATGAAAGGTAAATGAAAGAACGAAAGGCTCCATGTGGGCATGTATCCTTTTAATAAATGTGTTATCATTGTTTCAATGGTTAATGTTTTCTGGATTACTTGTTATTACCTGACTAATGTCCTTGTTTAAGTTGCTTATGTGTCTGGAACCTCACTGAGCTTTTAACTCATTCCGTTAGTTTTGTTTTCCTTAACAGGGAATGCGAGCAAGGACGAGGGATCTGTATAGACTATCCTAGTCTAGTTCGTTTGAATTTGTGTAATGGTTCTCGCCCTAGCGCTTGGCAAGGGTTGGTTGTATGAAGAATTGGAAACCTTTGTATATTTGATTTGTATTCCTTTTAAGATAGAAATGTATATAAATATATGTTTTAAGTTTGGAATTATTGTTACACTGGTTCTTGTGGTCTTATTTTCATTTGTACTTGAGGTGTATGAATGAGTCCCGGCGAGAGTTGGGCAGGCGACCCGCCGAACCCTTTGGTTCGCCTTAGGGGAAGGTGGGGCCGTCACATTAGTGGTGTGAGGTTCATTGTAAGCTTTTCATTTGTAAGTGAATACTTTATGAGTGTAGTTTTGTGAGGGTTGTCTTGAGGGATAGTAAAACTTCCTAACTTGACCGAGTGGAGTTCGAGACAAGGAGGAGGTGAACCTTCCTTTGTACACAAGAGTGATTGTAATTCATCAATTTGGAGAAACTTGTTTGAATTAATCTACAAGCTCAAGAGGAGTTGGGTAGTTAATTAGTTTGCAATTCTTTCCTTTTTATTTACTTATTGTTACGTTTGTGATCTTTACATTGCTTATCTCTTCTACTTCTCTCAAGTGATTTTGTTCATTCATTAATTGATTCATTGTGTGATCACTTAGAAAAGAGGGTAAATTTCATATTGAACAAAAAGTGCCCATAACTTAATTAGGTTTTAATCAACCTAATTCACCCCCTCTTAGGCTGTCTTCGATCCTTACAAGTTATGTTGCTATTAATTTGACAATGCACTCACAGTGCATTAACTCTCTCTTCTTTTTGAATATCATCATAATACTGGTTAAAAAATCTTTATCTAAATTATAATAAATAGGAGGGCTGATTTCATAGATGGAATTTCTCTTCACAACAAATTTTGAGGGAAATATTATTTATACTCCATATTTTGCTAATCATATTCTCATTATTTGTTTTATTATATAGTCAAATAAATAAAAATTATATGATAAAAATAATAGTGAAAATGCGATCAACAAAAATGGGAGCGCAAGTAACATTTGTCAATTTTAATTATTTTGATACTCAATTTTTCTCCTATATTTCTATTCATTACATGCCAAAATAATTTGATACTCTGTACTCGACTAAGCTTCTAGGAGGCCTCCCATGACTATGTTTTACATAAAATCACTTCCAAATACTAATAAGGTAAGGCTCCATACGTTTGATGTTCCCATAAAATTGTAATACTGTAATTATCACTACTGAAAATTACATAGACATCACCACTTTTTTTGACGAAACATAGATGTTACTACCTAAAATTGTAAACACTTCTGCTGTTCGCATAAAATGTGTTTTTTACGCACAGTTAATATGTATGCTTGAGAACCATGATTTTCCCAAATTACCTTTAACTTGGAAAGAATTGCAACTAAGGGTGAATGTTGTGATGCCTCAGCTCCAAATATCCCTTGAGCACATTAAAGAAATCAATCAGATGGACTTCTATAGTGGTTGTAGCATGGCTTTGGCTTAGGTCTCATAAAGAAAGGAGAATAAGGCTCAAAGTTTTGATTTTTCAAGTTGATCACCTTAAACAATTTTGCTGCCAAATTCTATAAGACAACATATGTGGAGAAATTATATTGTTCCTTTCCGAAACTGCCACAAAACAAGTCAGTAATTTTCCCAAATTACCTAAAAAAGTAGAAATTTCAAAAAAGAGTTATTTGCGTACACATTACACGATGATGATGAAAATGCAGTTTTATTTTCAGTACCGTATTTTCCCACCATTTTAGAACAGTGATGAAAATGCTTGCAGAGTAAATTTGTCTTGCGATTGCTGTTCATTTGAAAAAAAAAATGGATGAGAAAGTTGTTTCACATGTGCTCTTTTTGCTTGGTTAGTGAAGAAAATATAGAAAGTAGTAAAAGATTAAGCTCATATGCCTTAGGCATTTTTTTGGATGAAGAATGGAATTTTCCTCAATGCTATTGAGCACTAGACGTACAGGTTTTCGAGTCTTTGCTCGCACATGTAAATTTCCTTTACAATGAATGAAATTATCCTAACGTTTCGAAAAAAAAAAAAAAGAAAAAAAAAAGGGAAAACCGATACAGGACAAAAGAAATAAAAGCTACTCCAAATGTTACAGACAAAACTATCCATATACCATGGTATTTTCTTTGCAACCACAATGTTTATCCATATCCAAATTGTCCATCGTAATAAATTATGTAAAACTGTGTGAAATCAACAAATGGCAATTAAAATTTTCTATTGCCTGCCAATTGCCAAATCAAGAAGTGTAACTTGCTATTTTTATCTTTGCTTTCTATCAATAGGTTGGATGCCAGTCCACGTTTGTGGCTGAGCTCACTCAACTTGACACATAGTAGAAAGACAGAAACACCCCACCCCTTCCGCATCCCACAAAGCAACACGTCAGCGCTGATCTTTTTTCCACCACTTCCCAATTCCCTAGACCCGTATAAACTAGACTTAAGGCTATTTCTGTCATTTCATTTATAATAAAATAACATACCTGACCCTCATTATTCCACCTCCCATTACCGACTTCAGCACCTCTTAAAAGTCCACATCCTCTCCTCAAGCCCCCTATAGCCGCCTCCCCATCTCCTTCCCCCGGGCCTCATATTTTCATTTTCGTTCAAAACATTTTCTCTCTACCTTCTCGAATTAGAAAGGGCAAAAAAAAGAAAAGCAAAAAGAGGGGAAAAAACGAAAAAGAAAAACCTTGGCCATGGCTCATCAGAAGAGAGAGAAAGAAGAGACGGAACTCAAAGTTCCGGAATCTCTAACACTATGTACCCCAACAATCCCAGTACCTCCACCGCAGCTCGATGATCCGAGATCTAATTCTGCGAGATCGCCTGAGAGCTCAGATCCGAAACTCTTGGTCAACGGGGACAACAATCTAAGATCTAGCCCGTTGTCACCGGAGAGATCGGATCTGATCTCTGTCGGAGCTGTCGATGGAAAGGCGGTGGAATTAAATCGGTCGTTGAAAAGGCCGAGGGACGCTGTTAATCGGTGTTCGTGTACTGGGTGTAGGAGAAAATTGGGTTTAATGGGGTTTCGGTGCCGATGCGGGGACATGTTTTGTTCCGAGCACAGGTATTCCGATCGGCACGATTGCAGTTATGATTACAAGACTGCTGGGCGAGAGGCGATTGCTCGGGAAAATCCGGTGGTCAAGGCCCCGAAGATTCTCAAGGTGTGACGTTGGATGAATCTCAATTCTTGGTTCGTGAAGCTATTAAGTTGGGTCAGCTCAGCCCATCTCAGCTGCAACCCAGCAAGGGAGCCTCAAAGGGGGAAGCGGCCTGGGGGAAATTCTCTGTATCATGGGATTTGAGAGATGGGGTCATGGGGGTGTTTTTCGTTGTAAATTTGATAGCGGAGTGAGGGTACTATTGTCATTTAAATTCTATTATATGATTACTCTGGGAGTAGAAATCCTTCTTTGCCTTTTTTTTTTTTTTAAGTTATCTGTCCTCCTAATTAATTGATTTCTCCAAAATATCCCAAAAAAAAAAATTTAGCTGGTTTGGGAGACATAACATGTGATGGTCCGTCAGCAATTGTAAGCGTGGCAAATTTCGGCCGTTTAGCTGAAAGTTGGTGTGGGGTTGGGGTTGTCTGAAATGAATATGTATTCAATGCGATGATGCAGGCATAAAAACAATTCAACAAAAATGAGGTGAGAGATAGGTCCTCAAAACATAAATTAAAAGGAAAGATGTATAAGAAATGATGCAGGCTTGGGAGATGCTCTTCGACTTTTTCTATGGACATAAGAGAATGCGATACGTATTAGTATCTGTTAGGTACGCAGGAATTAAAACCTTGTGTTTGGATTGCATTTTCCGTGATTTTTCATGGAAAAATTACTGTAGTGATTTGATGTATGTGAGGGAAAAAGGTAATAGGGAAATGTGATCACGGAAAACGACGTAATTTTTTGACGGAAACCGGCAATCCAAACAAGGCCTTGGATGAAAAATTTGATGAAATTAGACCATTGTTTAACGGATGAGTTTTGTCCTAATATTTATTGTTGTAGTAGTAACGGTAATTCAATGCAACGTGTAAATCGTACAGTCGAGAAAGTGTAAATTCATATTTATTCATCTTAAATTCGTATATTGCATGATATTTTCATATCTTGACAGTTGTATGAGCAATTAGTGCATGAGATGTAAGAATTTACTTAAAGGTTATGGAGGTTACTTTCTCCCACTTAAAAGTATTTTAATACTTAGAAATTAGAAAATTTTCCCTTATCTTTCATACTTTAAGTTTTTTATAATGTGTGCAACTCATTTCAAAATATAATATTGAAAAACTCATTTTGGAAGAGAGTATAGTCCGTTCCAAATATGCCATTTTCCTGTAGTCCTTTAATTGCATAACACACTAATTTTATCTCTTAATTTTTATAAATTTGGTCAATGTTGTTCTTTAATAGAAAAAAGTCGAAAGATCCATTAAATAGTTTTTGTGTCATTGGTTTGGATAAAATAATTAAAATACTTAGAAAACAATTTAGAGGACATGTAAAAATATCTTAAACTGTTTTACAATAATGAAAATAACTTTCTTACCAACTTCAAAATAGCATTTTGTATTTTTCTAGTTTTCAAGCCTTCGATTTGAACAAAAAAATAGAAAATTCAAACAAATGTAAATGATATATAAAACTCTTTAAATTAACTCAATTCAATTTATAGCAAAAAACTAATATTTTTTAACTCGCAAAAACATTGACAAAAATGTTAAATATTAGCTATTTGTATTTTAATGACACACTATATTTTGTCTCAGTAGAATTAAACCTTCATGTTTTTGCTTCTGTTTTGAAATTACTATCACTATACTCACGGTTAGTTTTTGTGTCATTGGTTTGGATAAAATGATTAAAATACTTAGAAAACAATTTAGAGTACATGTAAAACTGTCTTAAACTATTTTAAAATAATGAAAATAACTTCTTACCAACTTCAAAATAGCATTTTGTATTTTTCTAGTTTTCAAGCCATCGATTTGAACAAAAAAAATAGAAAATTCAAACAAATGTAAATGATATATAAAACTCTTTAAATTAACTCTATTCAATTTATAGCAAAAAAGTAATATTTTTTAACTCGCAAAAACATTGACTAAAATGTTAAATATTAGCTATTTGTATTTTAATGACACACTATATTTTGTCTCAGTAGAATTAAACCTTCATGTTTTTGCTTCAGTTTTGAAATTACTATCACTATACTCACGGTTAGTTTTTGTGTCATTGGTTTGGATAAAATGATTAAAATACTTAGAAAACAATTTAGAGTACATGTAAAAATGTCTTAAACTATTTTACAATAATGAAAATAACTTTCTTACCAACTTCAAAATAGCACTAACAAGTTTATAAATTATTCTAGCATTTTTTATTTTTCTAGTTTTCAAGCCATCATTTTGAACAAAAAAATAGAAAATTCAAACAAATGTAAATGATATATAAAACTCTTTAAATTAACTCAATTCAATTTATAGCAAAAAAGTAATATTTTTAACTCGCAAAAACATTGACTAAAATGTTAAATATTAGCTATTTGAATTTTAATGGCACACTATATTTTGTCTCAGTAGAATTAAACCTTCATGTTTTTGCTTTTGTTTTGAAATTACTATCACTATACTCACGGTTTTGTACAAAAAAGTAAGATGACAAAAGGGTAAGTTTAGAATGAAACCAAATTCACTCACCCAAAATAAGTTTTTCAATATTATACTTTGAAATAGGTTCAAATATTACAAAAAATCGTAAAATAGGGAAGGCAAGTGAGGTTTTTCAAAATTCGAGAGTGCCAAGTTATACAGTCAAAAATCTTAAGACAAGTTTTTGAAATTATTCCTTTTTGCTAAGACAAATTTCTACCTCCTCCCCCCCCCCTTTCCCAAAAAAAAAAAAAAATTGATGGCCTTTTGTCCCAAAAAAAGTCCGAATGTGGTAGTTGTTCAAAAATTATTCACGGACTATTATTCATGACTACCAATTTTTCATATTGGAGTATACTTCCTCATCCCATCAACTGTAAGGTTATGTTTTCAATGTTTTGCCATTATTTATTCTCCTCTTCTTGCCCCCTTTCAAAGTGTTTATGTGACGACCCCACTTCTCCCAAGGGCGAACCCGAGGGTATTAGCGGGCCGCCTGCCTAACTCGCGCCAGGACTCGAAACTTAAAGCAATATAACTAGATAAACCGAAAGAGCACTATATACACAATATATACAATCCCAAAAGTGTTCGAATCATCCCATTACATCCTTATGAATATAACCAAAACTAAAGAGTAGACCCTAAGGAAGGTCCTTATACAAACCACCAAAACTAAAATCAACATCCTAATTGTCCAACTATTACATGCAAATCTAACTATACTAGTGTATGTGTCAAAAGTCCCCGCGTCGGCCCCTGCTAAGGAAAACAAAAGAAAATGGGTAAGCTATATGCTTAGAAAGTAAACAGGGGCAAAAGCGTAAATCTCACATATTAACAATTACACAGTAAGAGTAAAGCAAAAGCAGAAAAACAACATCACATAATAAGGATACGGGTGGATCCAAAGCCAATTCATGTGCCATGTATGATCTCCTGCTGATACTCCGTCGACCACAAATAATGGTCCGTAGAACTCCACTTGTTCTCCCACCGTACACCTTATCACCCTCTCTGGCCAGACACCTCACAAACTTGCTCGAGCGAACGAAATTGAGCTTGGTTCACAAGCTCGGGTCACAAACTTGGTCCACATGCTCGGTGAACCGGATTCACAAAGTTGGTGACCTCAATCCAGGTTGGACTGACTTCGACCAAGCCCTAACCGGCTCGAATAGTCCATCTAGGTATTGAGATCGGGCCCCAAACTCACAAATTTCACAAAATTATTCAAAAGTCACCCCATGCCACAAGCTCAAGGGTTTTAGTTCCAAAATTGCTCATATACACAAGCCATGTACAAATATGTGCGCAAGTTAGGGTTTAGGTCGAGTGCGATAAAGTACACCCTCGCCTAGGTACCCTCTTCATACATAAGCAACTAACACACAAGAGCGGCCTGAGTACTTACTCAAAATACAAAAGTGGTACAAGAGCAAAATCACTTCGCGCGTGTTCGCTAGTAGTGGGTCCCACCGGCTCCGTCTAGCTCACCACTGTCTGAAATAGAAGATTGTATCACATATTATCATAAACGGCCACTAACATGCCCAAAACAAGAAAAACGGAAAAATCGGCACATGTAAGTGCGGAAACGACAAAATGAGCAGAACAAAGATCTACATTTATTATGAAGGAGTCCACACCCAGATCGTACGTTATCAAAACGGATAAAACATGGGCAGAAGCAAAAGTCAAAACGTAACACACTTCAGGGTATAAAACAGGTGCTAGTTTTTTGTCTATAACTCGGGTTACACTGATCCGTTTGACCTGAAATTTTACAAGAATATTCAGGACATAAGGGGCTACAACTTTCATGTTTTTAGGAACTTCTGAATCCATACGTAACATCGAGAAAAATGAAGCCAAAGTTCGGATACTGAACAGCCCTAGTTTTCCAGATTTGCCGGTTTTGCGCGCCGCAACCGTACAGTCCGTTCTATGATTCTCATACCAACTTTTCTAACCAATTTGATACCCAAAAATCATACGTATATCAGCCTATTATTGGTCCGAAATTCTCTCCTTATTTAACCACAAAATTACCAAACACTAACCAAAATCCCTATCCTCACTTCATTCGCACTAATGAGCTTGCTCTAACATCCAACTAACCAAACCCCAACTCACTAGGCATTAGCCAAGCTAAACTATCCTAATGGAGTCTAGGGTTTCATGAACCAAATCTGATTTTACCAAAATCTAACCATACAAGAACAATCAATACACCACAAATCCCATCTACAAATGAATTTCTCAATCAAAGCAACTAAGGAAAACATTAAAGCAAGAAGCCCTAATTTTTTTCCCTTTTGACCGAATTTCCAATCAGCAACAAAACACTAAAATTAACCATGAAACTTCAATATAAATATCAAATCCACCATACAAATCCATAATCACAACAACATACATCAATTCCATAGCTTAAAGATTAACAACCCCAAAATTTATCTTTCAAAGAAGATGGCATACCTTCAAATGAGTTTGGTAGATGATCAAACTTCAACAATCAAGCTCCTAAGTTGTTCCCTCAAGCTTCAAAGGCAAGATGAAAGGCTAGAAGATGAAGAACTTGAAGAATTTCTTTCCTCTCTTTGCTCTCTCAATCTCGGCTCTCCTCTCTCTTTTTCTCTTGTCTTGTTTGTCTTGTGATTATCTTATCATCCTAAGGTAATAAATAGTCAAAGACAATAGGAGATATTTTTAGGCTAACCAATCACATAAAAATACTTTATTTGCCTTTTAAACCCTTG